GCTGCACCTTGAGTCCCATGTTCAGTATTAGGCTCCTCACTTTAACAGGGACTTAGAGAGGTACTGGAGTTCACCCAAAGAAGGGCGACCAGGTTGGTGGAGGGTCTGGAAAACAAAGTGTCATGAGAAGAATCTGAGGGAGCTGGAATTGTTTTGTCTGGAGAGGAGGAGGACTGGGGGGCCTCATCACTCTGCCTGATGTAGCAGGTGGTCACCACTCTCTTCTGCCAGGCCTCAAGTGGCAGAACAAGAGGGCTTGGCCTTAAAGTTGCTTCAGTGGAGGTTCAGTTTAGACAGGTTTTTTTCACTGGAAGAGTAGTCAGGCACTGAAATAAGTTGCTCAGGGTGCTGGTAAAGTCACTGTGCCTGGAAGTGTTCATGGGGCATCTCTATGTGGCACTTTGGGAAATAGTTTAGGAGTGATTATGGTGGTACTGGGCTGATGGTTGAACTAGATGATCTTGAAGACCTCTTCCAACCTTAAAGGTTCTGGTGTGTCCACCATGTCCAAACACTGAGCAGCTGTTTTGAGCCTTCCTTCTCAGTCTGGAATCATCTCCAACTGATCTGCAGAGGAACAAACCCAAGTCTGAGGCCACATATGCAAGCAAACAGGACATGGGTGATCCCACAGCTGTGTGCGAGGTCACTGCTACAAAGAGTAGCTGCCAGTCTCCTGCCGAGCTCAGCACCAGTGAGGATTTTCCAACCTTCAACTGAAAGTAACCTTCAATTTCAAGAGCAGGAAATGAAGATAATATTTTCGAAAAGCCTTCAGACAATGTTGTTTACAGTAAGATAAGGTTAGATTTAGTCTGGACTTATCTCGAGCTGTCAAGATTGATTGAATGTGATCATTTTCCTGGAAGAAAATGAACAGCAATATCTTCAGTCAGGCCTTTTTTAATATAAGTTAATAATGGTGTGTTAAAATCTACAATTCTCTTTTAGCTACTGAAAAAGTGACAGCAGCATTCCTAGTAGTGGACAATCATTCTGTACCAAATACTTATTATCAGCATGAAGAGTAGAAAGTTGAATATGTAAAGAGCATTGAATATGTACACAGTATCTATGTATGTGTGCTTGTTTGAGTAATTTTTATTCTGCACACATAACTACATACGTTAAGATACATAACTCTAGGGATTAGTCTAGGTTATTATTAGGGCTAACAAAATTTTTTTCACTATATATAGTGAAATAGACATTGTGTTCTCATAGACAAATGTAAGACAATGAGTCATGGCATTAGTCTTCAGACAACTGTTACCTATATTTTAATTTTAAGGACATAAAGGTTTGGTATGAAGATCTGACTGTGGTCTAAAGAGCCACATGTTTTCTAGAGATGTAGCATTAAGCATTACAAACTCAATGGTTTGGCCAAACTATCCATGCATGCAAAGTAAGCCCATGGTGCTTGTTGAAATAGACAGTTTCATGTCCATTTACCTTTCCTCACCTTTTACATCAGTGTGTAAGTTAATATTAAGATGACACAATTTCTGAGATGGAAGCTGTGGTTTTCATATATCTTTATTTTGTACTTACATTTTGTTTAGCTATATTCACGGTACATTTTATTTTACTTCAATTGCACCATAGCCCAATATTATTTCTAGTGAGTAACAGTGTTTTCCTGGGAAATAGTTTCAATATCGTAATGTGTATAGAAGTAGATACTGCCTAGCAACTTAATGAACAAATCCGCTGTTTTGCAACCCACCAAATGACAGCAAAAAATCCCTCAGTGCTATGTAATAACTTGATTGTTTTGTGACTTATTACATTAGTACTGCATACAACTGCTTGAAAAATAGAGCTGCTTGGAAGCTAGAAATTAACTTTTCTTAAAAATTATAAACAAGTGCTGGCATGTGAAAGAGTTCTAACTATCTTTGTGATTAGCCAAAAAATAAAATATAAGTTTACACAATTTTTTTGTCAAAAGTTCATTTCAGCTTAGATCAAATAAATCAAATTGTGCCAACAACGCATTCTAAATTTGAGTCTCTTTTTATAGAAATTTCTAACTTAAAAAAATCTTTATCAGATAGAACAGAGTATTTCACCTGATTTTGAAGACTGTGCTCTGTTCTTATGGCAATAAATGCCTTAAACTTTTAGGCATAGCAGAAAATTAATCAGTTCTGCCAGATAAAAATTCAGAGAGCAATTTTGTCAGACTTGTTTTTAGGGGTGTCTTTTCTTAATCAGGGTGATAGCTGATAGCTCTCCAATCTGCTCCAATTAAGACAAATTTACTGCATTCAGAATCTGTGCATATTATGCTGAAATCAAAAAACAGTGGATTAAAAAATTATTACATGTCAAATTTTCAGAATATAACTCTAAGGAATTAATATATTTTCTCCCAAACTCTTTTGTGGAGCTTAAATGCCTGCCTGTCTGACATGTCAATTTTTTTCTGGCCTAATAATTTCCAACATGCCCTTTGCCCTAGATCCTTGAAATAAAACAAGGATGGCATTTGTCAGCAAGTTTCTCATGTCTGCTACCTCTCATTCCATGAGCTGTCACTTGAAAAGGTACATTTAACTTGTGAAAAGGTCATTTTTCGACTAAGAAGAGAGCTTGATGTTTCAGATGATTTGTGTCTTGATCCAAATTCCATTTGACTTTACAGAAATAGCTTGCACATGCGTAAATACCTATACATCTCTGTGTGCGTGTGTGCACACACAGATGAGGAACACAACAGGGTACCCTCCTGTATTAAATAATTTTGCCTCCTTGGCATTCAAATATACACATAATCCTGTGGTTTTCCAGGAGCCTATATAATTACTCTTTCCATATCCAGGTCAGCCTACTGTGCCTTTGTGTCTCTACCATACCTTCAGATTTGATGTCCTTTTACAAAGCAGGTGAAGAAATACTTTGCAAGAAATACATAAGTGGATTTTAAAAAACAAGGAGAGATCCTTAATTCAGTTACTTAGTGTTTTTCTTTCTTGTCACCACTCCAGCAAAGGCTGTGAGAGCACTGCCTCTTGTGGCTGACAGGCAGGCAGACAGACAAGCCATCTGGGCAGAAGAAGGAAGTAGTCCCACAGCTCACCTGGAAGCGCTGCCTCAGTCACCATCAGCACATCACTATCACAAGCAGTAGTTACAGATTTTTGTAGCACACAAGTCCATCAGACACCTGTATCAATGGTATAAGCAATGAGAAAAGTCACACAAGAGAAACCCCACATCAAAGGGCTCCAATTGCCTCATAGTTACTTGAGGAATAGGGATGAGGTGGGTTAGTTTTCCCATCTGTTGTTTCTGATGCTTCTGGTGGTCATTTCATTATTTGAATTAGAGCACACATTTTTCAAAATATCCAGAATTCACCCAGGCTGTCAGATGTCTCTGGCAATGTGTTAAATCTCAAAAGCAAAATTGGTAAAACATCGTCCTGCTGGCCAAGAGAGAATTGGATCACCACTGCTGCCCAAATGACACCTGGCATTCTTCTCACCCAGCAAGAGAAGCCTCTGTTTCCCTCCATTTTACTGTGTCCCTTCAGTGGCACCAGCTGCACAGCACATTGGTAGCTGTGTGTGGCCTCTCTGCCGAGAAGAATATAGCATGATCTATGTGTTCTGCAAGATAAGGCTTTGCAGCAGCAAATTTTCCCTGCCCCTCTGACTGACATATGAAAGAGTTTGAAAGACTGGGCCAATGGGTATCAGGTATCCACTGTCATCAGAACAAGCCTTATGGATAGGTCTTTACAGCACACAATTGTTTTCCTTTCTAACAGCTGTCAAACATTTTTCTGGAGCAAGACAATATATGTAACAGCAGCTTGAATGTAGCTCTTTAAAACTCTCTGTGTTTCATGAGGTGAAGAAAACCCCTTTTGGCCCAGTGGAGACTCTTAGCTGAGTGTATAACACAGGAATTTTTTCTCTCTCTCTCTTTTATATCATGTAGAAATGTAAAAGTAATGGAAATAGGTTTTCCTCTTTGCTGATAATATAAGGTGTTTCTGACAGGAAGGAAATTCAAGATGACACGTTCCTGGCTCACTTAGGCTACTCTGACTGATGTGGTCTGGTTACCTTTTCCCCCCTATTTTCTCTTTAGAAATATATTATCACAGGGAAACCTGCGCCTCAAAATGAGCCATGTATTTCTGCTACAAAGGTCAGCCCATTATATAATTTTACACATATGCCGAATACAAATCACTTTTCTTTGGCTCAAGTGCACCTAAAGAGGTCCAGAGTACATTCAATCCAAATTGTGTCACATTCTCCTCAATCAAATTACCAAGAATTTGATTTTTTTTTTTTTTTAATCCACTGATGCTGAAGAGTGTTAAAAGCCAGGCAAATTCGAGATAGAAACATATTTTAACAGGTTGGCTCGAATACTCAAAGATGAGACAGGCAAAAAAACACCAAAATGAGCCCTGGATTTTGATGACCTGCAAAAAGGCACTTGGTTACTTTACATGATGAGACACGACATAATAATTGAAATGTCATCATTGTTATACAAGTTTTCTGCAGAATTGTCATTTTTAAAATCGAAAAAATAAAATCAAAATATTTTGCTTTGTTCTATGTGGACAGCATTTATGAATCTCATTATTATGAGATGGATGTGTATAATTTAGAGAGAAATGTTCGATGTTTTATAACACAAAGTGAATCATAGTCATTAGGGTTGGAAAAGACCTCTAAGATCATCAAGTCCAACCACTAACCTAACTCTGGCAGGTCCAACACTGAACAATAAAATCATAGAATCATTAAGGTTGAAAAAGTCCCTTAAGATCATCATGTCCAACCATCAACATAGCACAATCACCATATTCAGCAATAAACCATGTCCCTAAGTGCCACATCCACACAGTTTTTGAATGCTTCCAGGGACAAGGACTCAAGCACTTTGACAGTCAGCCTTTTGGGGAAGAAAAGGGGATCACTAACTTATGTAATAATGTGTCTGTTTATTTTGATTTTTCTCTTCCATAGGTATCCAAAGCAATCTACCGAATATTTTTGTCAGCTAAAGAGAATTCTGTCCCTTCCACTCCATGTGGTTATGCTGCTTGAAAAAGCTCCTTGGTAGAAGAAAACAAGCATGTCTGCTGGTACCAGGTACAGGGTGCGTTCACAGGTGTGCTGGGCAGAGCCTAACTCTATGAAGCCCCAGATTCAGCAGTCAGGGCACAGCAGGAGAGCTGTGGGAAGACAGCTGCTGGCCCAGGGTTGCAGCAGGACAATTCTGACCAAATCCACCATGTGCTTCTGCAACTCTGGAGAAGATGCTGTTCTACTGATTAAGTGTGGGATTTGTTAATATAACAGTTTTGACTGAGCGCACAGCCTAACTGTGCTTGCATAAACTGTGTCTTTGCTACTGGTTACGCTCATTCTCAGAGGACCAATGCTGCCTGTATGGATAGCACCCTAGCAAAGAACAAAGAAGACGATTGTGAAGAGGCAGACAATCACTAACAGTTATAAATTATTCAAGAACAAAATGTTCAAGTAATATTGACCTAAAGGTATCATCACACATTTTTCTCCAGTGGATGAAATCATCTAGTTAGTATTCAAGAACTACCCAAATAAAACTGATTGATGTTAACTGAGCAGACCGGGGAAAATTTCATCAGGATGCCCAAATTCTGTTCCTTCTTGCTTAATCAATCACACCTCTGCTAAGTTGTGCAGCATTTTGTTACAAAAGTCTTAGCAAAGAAATTGGTCTGTGGCACAATGAATAAAACATTTGCCTTAGTGGTAGAGTAATGATCCTTAAGTGCCTCTAGAAAAATGAGCTGCAAAGACTTCTTCCTTTAACAGAGAGACTTGAAGTAACCGCTAATAAGGTAAAAAGAGGGATATTTAAGGGTGGGGATAAAAAAGGGAATGCACCTCTTATTTGAAGTGCCAGCCCAATCCCTTGAACAAATACACATCCATGGGATCCTGAGGTATGAGTTTGTTTTTATCCAGTCACCTCTTTCCTACTGCAGTTTTTACACCATCATTAATCACCTTAATCTTTTCTCGTTCTGTTTTCACGGCGCTTATTGTGTCACCACAAAGGCATTGATCAAGTGGTGGCTGACAGGATGCAGCTATTTACTTTGAAGCAGTGGGAGCATACAGGGCAGGGAAGCACAGTGAAAATCTGCATTGGCTGGCACTTACAATTCCTGAACGATTCATACGTCTCCTTGAACACGTCCCCAAAGGCAAAGAATAATGACTTAGGTTTCCTTACAGAAATGTCATTTTTATCTGAGGCATAAAGTAGTAAAAGGAAGAAAAAACCACTGCATATTAAGTGTGCTTAAAAAGATTTATTTAAAGATAATTACAGAGGAATGTAAAACAAGTGACTGAATGGTGGGGGATTATTTACTGTCATTTCAAATTAACTTACTTTAAATCCATCTAAAACATCCTTGAATTTAAGATAAGGCCTTTCTCCTGATTTCTGTTTTAAAAATAGAAAGGGAGAAGCAAGAGCGACCACTGTTTTAGGGTGTGTATTTAATTAAATAATATTATTGCTAGACAGCTGCTGAACAATAAAATACTCCTTTAAGAAAGCACTGATTTGAAAACTAGTGTGAGGTCATGTAACCTCATTATTCTCTTTACATCTTCCATTAGGTCAAAATACCAATACCTTTTGCAGTAACTTTCATCTCAGGCAGCATATGCCAGCATTTCGCTTTCAACTCTGGCTTTTTTATTCTTCACAAGGATTACAATCTGCAACACCGCTGCTTCATTTTCATTACATTGCTGTTCTATCTTTTAGGGGAAATCAGTTTCACATTGTGTTATTCTTATACTCCTTAACAAGGTTTAGAAAGAAAAAGAAAAGAAAAAGAAAAAATGAATCCTTTTAAATTAAGAGGTCCCAGTTTGATAGCACTTCCCAAATCAAAAAAAAAAAAAAAAAAAAAAAAAAAAAAAAAAAAAGAAAAAGAAAAAGAAAAAGAAAATAAAAGAAAGCTCTATTATATGAATAGTTTGCTTGCAAAGGATATGCAGCAGTGGAACATTCAAATCCCAACTGTCTAAGCCAAAGTCATTGATGTGTATTATCTGCTGGCTGCTATCATTAACAAGGCAGCTTTAAAAGGACAATTCTTAAAGCCTGGACAATTTCTTTGGGCTAAAACTCTGAGGATGGCCTCTCTATCCTTTAGCTGAAGAAAGAAATTCTCTTGCGTGTGAACATATATAAAAAATGTGTCTCCTCTTGCTGGACTGTCACAGTCTTTTTCAGAGTTTCTTTGCTTGATTCCTAATACCCTTTCTGTGCAAGGCTAAGACCATTTCTGAACATTTACACAGAATAATAATAAAGTCCTCTGGCTGATTAGTAGCATGCAAAGCCCTCCTTACAAGTCTTTCATAGGTATCTGCCATGGCTTTCCTCAACCTCCTTAGAAGGAAGATTTTAGGAGAAAGCCTAATGTATTCTATCCAATGATTTTGTAGGAGTTTATGTGAGTGTACTGACCTACAATTTTCTTATTGTCATAGTTTTATGTGGAGTAAAGTTGTGTTTTCTGATTCCTTGATTTACTTTTATATTTGGAGGATGCGGGGGAGCGGAGGGAGGGAAGAAGCTAGAACTTACCAATCTGGCCCCCACAATAAAATCCGATCCTGTAAACTGGTTACAATAAAATAGCAATATTGCCCTTTTGCTACTGTTTGAATGTGTTATCAGGAAAGCAAATTTCCATCTTGGTCTATTGCCCATTCAATGCAATAAATTTCAAATTATAGAATATGAAAGGAAGGAGGTCTTAAACAAAACAATGATGATACTAAAACTGTCTAATTCATACTTTTTTCAGGTAAAGTTTGGACAAAAGGTGCAATTATTTTTATAGACTTGTTAAGGTATTTTAATTGCTATTGTCAGATGTTTATTTGATGTTAACTCTTCTTGTGTCTGGCTAGAAAACTGATATGGTTTCCTGGAAACAGAGTTATATCTTTAAGGAGAAACTCTAGCACAAACTTCAGATAAAACTCTTGTATTAAATGCCTAAGTTACACAAGTTAAAGGGTTGCTCAGCTTGGTCAATCTACAATATAACCTGAAACGCCAAAGGTTTTGCAAAAAAAAAGAAGTAATTTTATGCATTAAAAATTGAACTATTCAAGAAAACAAAGAATCAGTATCTCTGCCCTGAAATGGAATATGATAATTTAAAAAATTTACATCTCATATTATTTAGAATTTAAAACAGTCATAATACTCTATGTTTTTAACATCTTTAAAAATTAATTATTCCCAGAACTGTGATTTTCTGTATTATTTTCAATGCATTGTGAATATTAGTCTTTGTAAATCAGTGGAAAAAAAAATATGTTGATCATATAACGGCAGCTATCATGTGTAGTAAGACCATTCATTAGGATGATAAAATTCAGAGCAGGAAGCACCATACCTATCAAACTGCTAGGAAACACACTAGAATATGAAGTTCAGCTCCTGGGAGTGGTCTGGAATGACCTCTCCCTGTTTTCAAATTCTAACTCTGAAACTGTATATGATGCTGGTCTCAGACTGCAGCAGCACTTTCTTTCTGTGTAGAAACAAATTTGAGGAAAAAATAATGCATGAAACAATTTGGACAAGTTGAGCAACAGTCTCCAGACCCAGCTCTCAAAATTAATTAAAATTTCCTCAAGGTTATTTGCTTCTAGTTTCTTTGCATAATCTGAGTTCTTATTATGTAGAGATGGCATATTGAAGTCCTGCTCAAAAAGATGAGTGTTGGAAATATTCCGCTGAAAAAGGGTGTCCAGTCAGTCCAGGACTGTGATTTCAATACAGGGATTTCACCCTGGTGAAACACTGCCAGGAAATTTGATTATTTCAGCTGTATTTTGGGTCGAGATGTGAGACTTCCACACTTGGTAAACAGGGACGGTCTCTGCTTGGACTTCACAAAGCCTACAAGCTATCCCGCTGTTTTAAAATACAGTGAATGAAGCCGCATTCTGAATATGGTTAGCTGCAAATGGACTGTGGGTAGTCAGCATGGTGGATTTACCTGCATAATTCAAAGGTAAATACACTTGACCTTGAGAAAATACACCTGAATGTAAACTTATCAGGTTTGTATTTGTGTTCTGCCTTACACATTCACACATGGAAAAACATGTGGGCTGTAAAAAAAAATAAATTTCTGCCTTTCCTTGCTTAGAGAGAGCTCCACTTTGCACTTCAAGCCTCCAAAATGAACTGGTTTTCATCAATACCTCAAAGACTAAGTTCACTTAAACTACATTTTAGGAAAGGAATGTATAAGGAGTCTGTTTTTTGCAGGCCACTTCAGTCAACAAAATAATGTCATTTCTAGCCATGTCAAAAAGCCATATGGTAGGTCTTCACATAGCTGATGTGCTCCTTAGATAAGGAAAGAAAAGCAATTCTGTGAAAACCAGGATCTTAATAGATGCTACACACAATAACAACAACAACAAAAAGAGAGAGAGAAAGAGATTAATCTTGACAATATATTTATTTGAATACATTACACTGCATTTGATTAACACTTTCCAAAGGTAGGTGGAACATTTGATAGACCTGCATGTGCCACGGATGCCAGACAAACATTTTCTCTGTGATTAACTGTTAAAGACTTACAAACTTGCTGCTTGTCCAGCCTGCACTCACCTTTATAACGGTAAAATTGCTCAATACCTTTCTCCAATAATTAAGACAATATGATTTAGATGCTTGCTAGATGACCAGTAGCATTCAGGAAAAAAAAGAAAAATTACTTGAAAATTCTGTAAGTGCAGGGGGAAAGAAAGGACATGAAGTTTTTATTAAAACAGATAACAGGATTGTTATCAGTGCATCAATTTCCTATTGTCTGCTGCATGAGAATTCAGGACTCTGTAAATGATACACTGTCAGAAAAAGACTCTGGATGCACAGCAATAGCAAAATAACAGCTCCATTTTCCTGCAGAACTTAATTTTATGAAACATTTATTTAAGAAATTCAAGGTAATTTAAAACGTGTGAATGTGTGTGTATATGTGTAGGCATATGTGCATGGGTGTGTTTTTTAAAAAGTTCATTTATACAGTCTTGTATCAAGTAGCCCTAGAATTAAAAGAGAACATGCTAGAGCTTTTAGTCTATTCTCTAAAGTGGTAGTTTTTGTCCAAAATAACAAAAACCACAAGTTTTGAGGTTAACTATGCGTACCAAATGTAAAAAACAGTGGTCACTTCTTGTCTCATGTAACATTTCAGTTTATGCTCATAGAGGAAACATTGGTCAGGGTTTTCATAATGAGACTATATATTGGATTTGCATTAAAGTGCAGATAGGGTGGAAACAGGCAGAAGACATTTGTCCATCAAAACTCATCTCTTCTTAATACTTTCTCTGACTTGCAGTTTCCTCTCAGTCACTCTCATTTGAGACGAAAATGAGACCCAATGTTTTGTGATGCTCATGTGAGTTTTAAACCCATTCATACTCATTCATATTTTAGCAAATATAGTCACACCATGATTTTTTGCCTGCAATAACTCCCACTCTCATCCTTCTGTTAAGAATTAAGGAGGAAAAAAGTGTGCCAGACTTCTTCTCAACTTCTGTTGATTAGAAGTAAGACTGTATTTGGAAATATTTAAGACATTGACATTACTGACATTGTAGATGGGAGAGGAAAGGTTTTGTCACTATCAATCCAAGCCTGTCCCTCACAGCACATCCCTCCCAGTAGCTGGGAGTTTAAGACATGCATGAGTAGTCTACATACTTTCCTTAGGGCAGCCTGGCACAGACCCAGCTTAGATGGGGATGTTATACTGCTGCCAGTTTTACAAGTGACAGGAGAAAAGCAGAGATACGCAATCTGGGCTTCATCTAGCAGCATAGAAAGCACAAGTGCTGCACAAGTGCCTGCCAAGGCCTTTGCCAAAGTCTTAATCTTCATGGAGAGGAAACCATGGAACTAAAATCTAAATGTGTGGCCCAGGATGCTCATCCTAAGCAGGAGGACAATTATGTTTTTCCATACTAAATATAAACCCAGCACATGCTTCTCTTTTTTCCCCATTTCTGTCTTCTTCCTAGAGACAAGTTTAAAATTTTCATAATTTTACCCATTTTACTTGCATTTTCCCATTTCTTTTCATGGGACAGCTTATAAGCACAATGTGGGTTGCCTTTGATCAGAAGAAGAAAAGTTACCCCTCTTCTCATTTGTGCATTAAAAAAAAATCCCTCTTTTCATTCCATTCATTCCTCAATGGCTTTTCCTTTCTAGTTAAGTCTAGTTCTCAGTTCTCCTCACTTTTCTTTGCATACTTGTATATCTACATCCAAACACCAACAGAAGTGCACATTAAACTGGCAGATCAAGAGTAAACCATCAAAAGCTGACTGTAGCACTCAGGATTCCCCTTTGGTGCTTCATCAGGTTTTGATGATTTGGTTTTGTGGAGGACTATAACAGACCACAAGCAAAGCTCTTCAGCTTTTATGGTTTCATTTAAAATTCAGAGCACTCAGGGACCATGCATTCTCAATGAGACAAAGCAGTAAGCACCAAGAATTCAAAACCTATTAGTCTTCATTTAATACCAGAAAAGTCACTATTCCTCTTTCATATACTTGATTGGCAATTTTGTGTGCATTGCTTTCAGAAAGTAATGTTTTGTATGAGCAGATCTTTTCCAGTAAAATGTCACAATCACTAAAATGAGGACAGTAAGATAGCTCTAGTTCATTTTTTTACATAAAATCACAATAGATTGAATATTACATAATTACAGAGACTGAGAGAAATAGAGTGTAAAGAATGTGAGTATGCCTTGTGCCATTATAATAAAAGGTATTAAACTCTATTTATTATTTCACTACAAATACTCCTATGCAAAGCATTAAACACTAGAATCATGTAGATCTGTAGGAAAAATCACAAAAATCAGAGGGGATCACAAAACCTGTTTAAAAGCTGTTACAAGTGAGGGCACTTAAAAGAAATAGTAAATATTCAAATAGTTTTTGGGTACAGTTGATTGATTTCCTAGTGTTAACATCAAGTTGTATGGATAAATCAGGAGTATTGGTTGCTGCTGGCTTTTAGATTGTGATCATTACCATCCTGTCAGGGTGTCTCTTTCCAGTCTGTGTAAATGCACCTTTGTGTATTGCCATTTAAATAAAATGTATTTTCTTAGGGGAATTATCCAGTAATTTTAAATTCTTAAAATTTTTAAAAGGAACAGTGATCAAAGTTCATCATCCAGGCGCAGAATGTGATAATGGCATTTCTTCACTCCAGTTCATAACACCCAAGCGACAATATAACATAATTTTTTGATCAAGATACACGTGACCTTGGTAGCTCCATGGGCTCAGTGAAGAAATTCCATAATTAGTTGCTGGTAAGAAAATACACTTCTCCTGTTTTCTGCCTGACAAGAGCTTTACTGAATGCTTCAGTCTGCAGAAGCAAACCAAAAGCCAAAGCCTGCTCACAGATTTTTACGTTCAAGACACATAATTAAACTGCATCTGTGCCTAGGTGCACAACTCTGGGGTCAAAGCTTACACAGTGCTTTGAGATTCTTCAGGTAAAGAGGCAATAAATGCCATGATAATAAACGTTGGTCTGCAGCAGTCCTGCAAGGATAGTTGATACTAAAGTATCCATGATAGAAAAATCTGCTGCGTAAAATCTATAATTAATGTTTTGGAAGGAAGTAAAACCTCAATAAATTTATTTTAAAAAACATGTTAAGCATATTTTTTTACAGACTTACACAGTCAGAAGCTTAAAAAAAAAAAAAAATTGAAGCCAGTTTAAAATGAAGTCTGAAGCTGAAAGGCTGCAGAGGAAGTAGTGACAGTTTGCATAGATAATTTCCCCTCTCAGGCCATAGAA